CAGGTTTTTTTTTTTTCCCGCTTCCCCCCCCCCCCCCCCTCCCCCGGCCCAGTATGATCATTTCTCTTCTGGGAGGATACATAGGAGGTGAAGCTGCTGCGGTTCAGGCACTAAATCCAGGGAGAGCAGCTTGCTTCAGCTGTGGAATGAAGAGATTAATTCAGTGAGAACGATACAGAACCTGAACTGCTATGAGCAGGTAAGAGCCTGAAATCCACGCATTAGCTCACAGCAAGGCCAGATTGAAGGGCGAGTGGCACATAAATTATTTTAAGACTGGTCAAGTTACTCCTGTATCCAAGATCCGAGAGGAACCTGTGACTCCAACACAGACCCTAAGGTAATTTAAACAGCTCAGCACCGACTGCCACACCAGATCAGCTATGAATTAATCCAAGTCCTCAGTAATGACCGACAAACTACAATAAACTGGAATGTTAAATGCAGTCATTTGCAAGGTGCACCGAGACACGGGGATGACCAGGAGAGTTACTGTCTCTATCTACTTGACAGTTAACTTGTCTGTAGCAGTGCAGACTGGACTGATCTCCAGGCCGGCCAACACAGAGACTAAATCCTGCTCTCTTAGAGACAGGGGTGGATTGAACCGACACACCATCAGGGAGAGGAAGGTAAATGTTTAAAACAAAATTGCTAACGTAAGCATCAGCTGAAATGAAAAAGCTGGGCTCCTCGTGAAACAGGTAAGCACCTGTAATGCTGAGTAAGGCCCCTCCAGCAGCACTGGAAGGAGACAATGCACGGAGAAGGAATTTAATTCATATGAGCTTTAGGCTCCAGACGAAAAAGCCAGAAATACCTGTTAAAGATCTAAGACAGCTGAGCTTAGCTCTGTTATTGGGGTTGTGTTGACACTTGGGTAAAATCCTACCTATCTGGCTGATCTGTTCTTAACCATAAAAGCACAGACATGAAGCACTAACTCTTCCTGTGTACAAATCAAGAGGGAGCTGCGTCCCGAGTGCCCAGCCCTCAACAAAAGGGACCTGCCAACAGCAGCAGAGGGTGCAACCTCTGCTTCGAGCGCTGCGCCCTGCCACCACAACACAAACCAGGAAGAGCAGATGTTGGAATTGGTGACACTTCTGTAACCTTGACTAGGGGAGAGCTGGGGTTTTCAAAAGGCTACCTGGAAACTGAAGCTGTGAAAAGCTATCAGTTAAATAGGCACACAATCTGAAAGGATCAACAGGCTGGAGCTGTGGGCCCAGGCCAGTTGGGTGAGGGTCATCAAGGCCAAGGGCCGGGTCCTGCCCTGGGGTCACAACAACCCCACGCAATGCTACAGGCGTGGGGAAGAGGGGCTGGAAAGCTGCCCAGCAGAAAAGGACCTGGGGGTGTTGGTTGACAGGCGGCTGAATATGAGCCAGCAGTGTGCCCAGGTGGCCAGAGAGGCTGGAGCATGTCTAGAGAAGGGCAAGGAAGCTGGGGAGGGGTCTGGAGGCCAAGGCTGCTGGGGAGCATCTGGGGGAGCTGGGGGTGTTCATCCTGGAGAAGAAGAGGCTGAGGGGAGCCCTTATCGCTCCCTACAACTGCCTGACAGGAGGGGGGAGCCGGGGGGCAGTCAGGCTCTGCTCCCAGGGAACAGGCGATAAGACAAGGGGAAATGTCCTCAAGTTGTGCCAGGGCAAGTTTAGGTTGGACATTGGGAAAAATTCCTTCCCCACAAGGTCTGTCAGGTACAGGAAGGGGCTTCCCAGGGCAGGGGTCGAGTCCCCATCCCTGGGGGTATTTAAAAGCCGTGCAGAGGAGGTGCTTAGGGCCAGGGTTTAGTGGTGTGATGGCAGGGTTAGGGAACGGTTGGGCTTGGTGATCTTTTCCAACCTAAACAATTCCACAATTCCAAGTTTCACTTTCCACCTACTCTTGAGCCTCCACCCAGCTCCTTCCCCTCTCCCCAAAAAAGCACATCCAGTCTCAGAAGGGTTGATGCTGTTTTACAAGCAGGGAGATGCTGCGCTGCGCAGCAGGAAGAGCCTCCAAGCAGTGTCCTGTTGCCCCACATTCATACAACTTGTAATGCAAGTAGCAGAATTGCTGTGTTAGTGTTTTTTCCCTTTTTGCCTCACGCTCTGGGGCAGGAACAAGAACATGGCATTCCCAGGCAGGCAGCCTCTATTCTCTTGGCTACACCCAAAGGAACATGAAGTCACCATTGCACATGGCTCAACTTTTGCCCCCCATCTGCTTTCGTTGCCTTGAAAGTGCATTCCCAACCGTGCTACGGGGTCACTGGATGCCACTCGCCACCACCTTCAATTCACGAGCAAGAACATTAGGACAGGGAAAGATTTTAGATCTGTTTATTCAGATACAAATCGAAAGCAGATGAATGGAGCACAGCCCCACTTCCTCTGCTGCCTCTTCCCCTAACTACAAGAGAGAAGAGGAGAAGCAGGCAGAAAGCAGCAAATAATAATTTAGTGACAGAAGCATTGTGGTTCCCAGTTCAAACCTCTGCTTTCGGATTGCACAGGGACAGTTAGAGCATCAGTAGGTCAGTCACAGAGGAAAGGGGTCATTTCTAGCCAGCTGTCACCACCCTTGGGCACAAAAGCATCAATTTACAGGTTCAGATCCTAAATGTACAAAGCAAAGCCTTGTAAACAGGTTTGCCACCAGCAGCACACACTAAGGAAACTACTACAGCAACTTCTGCTGCTGTTTGCATTAAGACAGCTCTGCTCTGTGGTTTAGCTCCTCCAAATTCTCTGTGGAGAAGGGCCCCAGGCAGAGCTACCACCTTAAAGCAGCTACCATTTCCAGTACAGTTGGACCTTCTCGAGGCATATTCAGGCTTTACTGGGATGATTACTTGAAATAGGTCTCTCCCGGTTAGCTCCTATAGTACCTTTGTGCATAGTCCACAGGTGGGGGGAGCTGGCAGAAGGCAAAAGGAAAGATACGGAGGCAGCAAGGAAGCCTACCTGACCTTCAGGCACCTTCTCTGATTTGGAAAGGGAATGTCTAACAGGAGGAGCTGGAGGAACTGCTGGACAACCCACAGAGAACACCTTGAGGAATTTCATAGCTCGCGTTTTTGGTACCGACAAGGATTAATTCCCTAGACGCCACAACAGCACACTGGGGTACAAGCAGATCTTGGTTGTCCCGTTTCAGCTCTCCCAGCTGTGGATTCTTTTCTTTTTTCCAGGGCTATGGAATCCAGTTCTCTGCTCGAAGCAGCGTTCCTGACAATACTTGCTGTAGAGGTTAATCCATTGTAGAAGCACAATACTTTATCCACCCACCGAGCAAGAACAAGCATATTTTCTGTTCTTCCCTTCTTTCTACTGAAATTGAGATGGTCCTCCCCGGCAGCACAGGTCTGCTCCATGCTTGCCCAGTCAGCCTTTTGCTTATTGAATTACCAGTCACGTAGAAGTTCCCTCAACTTCCTTTTCATAGGACGTGAGGAGGAGAAGGGTGCTACACCTGGGAGGAAGCACTGTGTACCGCAAAGCATGAGCAGGAGTGCTGTAGGGAGCCTGGCCACCAGGACGCCAGGGACTTCGCAGCTGCCTGGTTGGGACGTGTCCACTGTTCATTTGCCTTGTGAGCTGTGGTCCAGGTTGGCCAGTGAGAAGGGAAGCGGCTAAAGGAATTAACTGTACATTTCACCTGCTAAATGACGGGTTATTTATTTAATTTAAGCTTCAGAGGGGAGTCCCCAGGTAAGGATTTAGCGCTCTAACAATTTCTGTGCCTCCCCCGGAAGGCCAGCTGACCTGCTGATGTATTGATAGGCTTTGAACTCCTACAGCACCACCGCATCCACTTCCAGCAACTGTTTTCTGCTGAGAAACTCTGACTCCAGCCAGTAAGGCTGCAACACCCACTTGGGTCTTCATCCCAACGCAGACAATGCACGCTCTGCTCAGAGGCTGCACAGAACGCCAGGATGGACAAGAGGTGGGGATGGCAGCAAGCGCCTATGAAAACCGGTAGCCCCAGGCTCTCGAAGGAGCTTCCCTCCCCCCTTCTCCCCACACAAAACACAAATTTGCAGAGTCAGTTTCCTATTTGTTTTCAAAGGGACAGGATTTCAAAGTCTTCATCTTCCGAGTCAAAGAACCTTTCCAATCTGTCGGCATCAGAGGAGTCTGCAAGAGAAAAAGAAACCACTACCTCCGTGGGCAGCACTGGCTGCTCAGCACCAGCAGGACCAGGGGCTGGAGGGCAGCAGAGTGCGAGGGTCAAGGGCCCGCAAGCTCCGAGAGACTCCGCCACACACCTGAGTGCAGGTGCTGAGGAGGGATGAGAAACGGCATCTATCAAAGGGAAAATGCACTGGAGAGAATTATACAGTGTGCAGAAGGTGGGCTGCGATTCACAGATCCTGACACAGCTGCAGCACAACGTTGTGCTGCGCCCGTTTCGTGCAGCAGCTCCCTGTTAGCAGAAGACAGTTCTGCCTCAGGATGCTCAAAATAGGAGAACTGGCCCAGGTTTGGACTAACACCCATGAAGATTTCTGGCCCAATTAAGTAATACAGGAAGGGTTTTTTTTCCCCTGTGTATTAGAGACCTGTTTTCTGCTACAGCTGCCTTTGATCCAGCTGCTGGGGAACGTAACTACACACCGTGCACTATCCCAAAAGCAATTAGCACAGTCCATTTTGTGACAAAGGGTGATGGACTCGATCTCTCCTGTCCATCCTTCCGACTCTATGGTGAGGAGGGAGCACATACCTAATGGAGAAGCACCTTTACCATAGGGGAAATTCAGGTGAGAATGGATGGGCCAACTGGGGACATAAAGGAGAAACCTACGTTAACTCTGGCTTTGAAGCACGCACCAGCCTCAGCAGAACAGCCAGGCAAAAGCTGAACTGCAGTAACTGGTGGCTGGGGACAGAGGAGAAGCGCAAGGCTGCAGACCCGCCCCCCCAAATATTCTGTGACACACTTTTGTCCCCCAGTAGCACATGCAAATGCCTAATGTTGCTGTTCTTGATCAAACCGCAGTGCCCATGAGTGCCAGCTGCACCAGTTCCAGAGGTGCTCCTCAGAGGAGCAGCCCCCTTCGCCTCAGTAACACAGCGGAGAACCCAGCCTGGGGGTAGGTGGGGGGGTGGACGTTCACCAGAGCAAGATTAGTCCCTCTAGTGCGGGGTAGGACTGCAAGAGAAACAGAATGGCTGCAGTGGGTGGGAGAGGCTCTACAGGCTAGGGAAGGGGGAGAAGGACAAGTAGCCCACTCCAAAAAGGCAGCAATTAGGGACAATTTAATACACGCAAGGAGCGATAGACAGTTTGAGGGAATGAAGCATTTTTACAGAGGACAGTGAGATAAGTAAGGCTTCAAAAGTTCATGCTAAGGAGAGAGAGTGAGGGAGCACAGGGTGCAGGATGCAAGTGACAGGACACAGTCCAATGCCTGGTGACAGGGTAAGTTTGTCCACGCATACTCACTGCTCTTGGCAGAAGCTGTCAGCAGCTCTTTATCCCCTGCAACGTTTGCGCACGTTATTAACATGATAAGCGGAGCCTGACAGTCAAGATACTGCCCAGCGCTTGCTCCCTTTTGCACTGGCGGTGGCACATGCACAGGGAAGGAGTGCCTTATGCTGGAATTAAGTGTGACTAGCCCTGTCTTGGACCACCTTCATTACTTAGAAACTCAGTTTTCAGCCTTTCAATGGACCCTCTCAATTCCTCCAAGCATCCCTTTACAAATCAGAGATTCACATTGCTGCCATAGCCTATGAACTTGGTGGGGTTTTTTTCTTCCCTTCAGTCACCCTCAGTATTCACAGACTCATTCTAAAAATTGTCCTGAGACACTCTGGGGTCGTCTGTGAACCACTAGTTGAAAGCCAAAGAACTCAATCAATGGAACCAAGAGCTCCATATCAACCTCCAGGCAGAACAGGATTCCACACCATTTCCAGAAAATCAAAGGGATCAGCTCCCCCTCAGCTCTACCTCCCTGTATGGCCTTACCTGGTGTGAGATTCAGGACGTCAGGGTTGGAGAAATGCGATGGCTGGCGTTCGACCAGTTCGAACATCGGCAGTGCTCCTCTCACCAGGGACAGCTATGGGGCAAGGGTAGAGCTGTGAGAACCAACAGCTCCATACTCACGGTGCTCCAGGTCTTCATGGGGTAGTGACAACCTGTTGAGACTTCACTGCAGCTGAAAAAACGTTTCTCAAATCTTTGACTCACGTCAGCAGCAGAGTTTCAGAGCTATGCTCTTTCTGATGGTTTAATAAACTATTTTCATCTGCTTTAATACTGGATGATGCTGCAGAGAACATGCTCTCTGTGCAGCAGGTTGGAAACAAGACAATACCCTACATTCACTTCTCGGTGATATAAACACAAACCTTTTTGATTTGCTGGCACCAATCGTTAAAGTCTTCCTCCGTATTGCAGAAAAAGCCCTGGGGGGAGGGGAAAAAAAAATATAAAAATCTATCTTTATATATTGTATATTGATCATTTCAATCTTAAGGCCTTTTATTAAAGCCAATGTGACCAGGGCTGCGAGCAGCTGCACCAGCTAAGTGTCTTGCTTTTAAACTGTGGCTTACACTGCCCTGTTAAACTGAGCGCTCCCCCTACGCTTGATGTGACTGGACTATCCGAGTGCTGGAAGCGCTGCTGTAATGGTCTGCTCTGCTGCAGAAGGAAAACTGGGCAGAAAACAATCCAAATGGAAACAAAGGGCAGGCACCTCAGATTCAAGAGAACAAATCATAATATGGATTTGGGAATGGATTCAGATCTGACCATCAAAAGGAAGGAATCAAAGCCCAAACTAAACCTGAGAGAATGATACTGCCCACGACGAATAGCACTTGATTGCCAAGTAAGGGGGACTTCCCTGTACCAAACCACCTTCACCACAAGGAGCTACTTTACTGACATTACTGAAACCCACAGCAGCACTTGCCCAGAGCGCAGCATGCCTGTCAAATACCCGACCTATCACCACTGCCTTTTCCCGTTCTGGGGAAAGGGACAGCTTCGGGTGATTGGAAACAAGCAGCAGGGACGCACCACTGCAATGGAGGGGTCGAGCTCGGCAATGCTCATTCTGCAGGGAGGGTGCTGGCAGTGGAAGCTTTCATCGGGGAGACAGCTGCTGTCGTTGGGCTCCACTGCAGGCTGCGTAGTGTGGGGATCCAGGTAAATGAGTTCCTCACCTGGACAGAGAGGCAAGGAGACATGAAGAGGAAGAACTATGGCAGAAGCTGCTCTTCTGAGAAGCAAACGGCGAGATACAAAGTGGAGTGATGACAGGGCCAGCTCTCAAAAGCCCACAGAGCAACCCATGTTCCAGAGGGGCAACTGGCTTTCAGCTGCTTTCCCAAGTGCTTCTCATGCAGGCCAAGAGCCAGCAGAACCACGGTGCCCACTCCACAGCGACACCCTGGGCTCAAGGCACAGGGCACTACTTGGATACTGTCCCTGCATGCACCTTCCAGGGTCCTGTGTAAGCTCAAGTTGGCCCCAGAAATCCAAAGCACAACCAGATTGAGGTCTTGGGCAGAGAGAGAAAATCAGAGGGAAGAAAGAGAGTAAAAGGACCGCAGTTTACAGGGTTTCAGGAAGGGGACAGTTAAATGCAGCCTAACTAAAGGACAGTTAAATCTAGCCAAGCCCCTAAAGGGAGGTCAGCTCTGAAGGTACAAGAAGTCTCTATGTACACCTCTTTCCAGATGGGATTTAGCATTACACAGTGGAATTTTACGGCCCATACTACAGCCGCTGTTCAAAGCTACATCACTTGGGTCCTCACAAAGAGGTTTAGTCCACAGCAGCCTTCCACGCTTCCAGCAGGGAAGAACCCCCCTGCAGCATGCACCACAGACCAAGCAGGAGAGCTGTACCACTCCAGAAGCGTTTTTTAGCTGGGGGAAGATGCTTGGAAAGTCTTTGCAGTACCCTGGGCACTCACCTACATAGCCAATGAAGTAGTGAGCACTGTTTGGTTTCCCTCCGATCACTCCCAGGGACTGAGGCATCATGAAGCAGTGCTGGAAAAGCAATACAGAAAACACAGAGCTGACAGACAGTGAGACAGCAGGTGGCAACAAAGGCAAACATCCAACAATGCAGTGGGAAAGAAAGACGGGAACACTGAAAAATCAGCAGAAACAGCCATTTCTGGAGAGAAGCTCCGCCAGGAAGGCTGAAGGCTGCAGCACAGGGCCTTCAAGGAACACAAAAGCAGCTCAAAAACACCTGTAATTGTTGACAAGAACACAGAGGTGGACCAAATGGAAGCAGCAGCACTACTCCAGGATCCACTCTGGGCGAGTCCTGGCTCTGCTGTAGTCAGTGGCAAGATACCCTGGAACTGTCATCAGACTGCAAGAGTGCTCTCAGGAGGAAACGATCATTCAGGAAACTGTTTAAGTTCGTTATCCAGCTGCAGTATCCAGGCAACATCTACTGAGTTAAGGACAAGTGACTTTGCGTGAATTTGGAACTCTTACCCATGCAGCTGAGAGCTTGTCAGCGTTAGTACAGCAAGGCAATGCGTGCCCTGTCCTGCACGTGTACTCTGCACACCCTAAATTCTGCAGCCTCCTGATGCTCCACACCGCAACCATCAGCCAAATTCTAGCCCCGGCCTGCAGCACAGGCTCCAGCATCAGAGCCACAGGGCATTTGCAACACCACATTCGTTAACACTCAGGTTGCCACCAGGCACAGTACAGTTGTGCTGAACAAATGCTTCAGCAGGTTGGTACCAGCTAAACACAAAGAGGCACCGAGGTTAAGTGGTGAAGTAAGAGCCTCAAAAAACCCCCCAAACCCCGCAACCCCCCAAAAGCCCCTCCCCATTTTCCTGACTAAAGCCTGCAGGAAGCAGTGTCCTGACCTCTGACAAGGATTGTCTCTAAACATGTTTTTCTTTTGAAAACAGGACAATTATTTCTGAGTATTTTTTCCCCCCCCCCCCCAACCAAATTCCAGAAATTACTTAATTCACAACAGGGTCCTTAAAGCATCAGAACACCGAGAATTCAGCTCCGGGTCCCCTACCTTTAGTGTTTCAATATAGGCTTCATTGATCTCTGTGAGCCCAAGGCGGAGAGGTATCAGCAGCACCAATGGTTTCCACAGTGAGAGCCTATCTCTAACCCCCGCTTCCTCTGGGTACCCGTTGTAGAGTACGTCTGACTCCACAGCAGGGCATGCTGCAGCTCCAGCACACGGGAAGTTGGACTGGCACAACCGCCCTACAGAAAGGGAACAGGAGCAGAAAGCATCAGAAATAACCTCCGTTTCTAGACCTTGAGTAATTCTATTTGAGCTCTGATCAACAACGGCGATTTACCAAAAGCCTACAGCACTTAATAAAAAGAAAAGCTTAAAGAGGTGCAGCGCTGGGATTACATGGTATATGTACTCCCTGCAGGGCTTCTCCTAGGGCTCAGCATTTCACCTAAGCTTACATCAAGACTATGCCAAAGCACGCTCTGCTCAGAGCCACCATCTGGTGGGCTGTTAAAATTCAGGTTTTTCCAGCAGGTGAGCCGCTACGCAACAACCTGTGCCAACAGGGTTGACTGGGAGGTCAGGCAAGAGGCCCAAATTCAGAGAGCACGTAGGCAGGAGGAGAAAAATCTGGAGCGTTCGACTTCGGAGGAGTTCATGGAGGGTATGAAGGCAGTTGAACTGAATGAGGAAGGTGTTACAGCTTAACACAGGAAACAGTCGCCTGTAATTAGCACTGCAACAGGATGCAAACATGGTGTCTGTCTAGAGTGGTTGTAGTTTTCCTAAAGTTCACCAAAGCCTTCGCAAATGTTATCAAGGATCACTCAGAAGCTGCTGTAAGAGACCTAGAGCAGGATGATTGATAAACTCTGCAATTTCAGCGTGAGCTTTGCCTGCAGGATATGGGGCAGTAAAACCCCTCAGGGCATAGGTGTGACATAATCATTCTGCAGGCTTGACAAGCAACAGCTGGGTTGTAATGCAACCAGATTACACAAATTCTGGTACAGAAACATCTCCTAACCTACCTCTCTCACTGGCCAATTTCATTACTTACTGGGCATGTGAAGAAAAAACACCAACCCCAAAGAAACCCACAGCCCTTTAATCGCGAAGCCAAGGCAATTAGACAAAATGCCAGAGGCTCCTTTAATTTATTCCTGGCTTAAGCTGAATGCCAGGACACTCAAGCAGGTCGGACACAAGGTAAAGAACCTTCATCACCAGCCATTTCAGCAGGGTGTTTCTTCGCTACTGAGAGCTTCGAACCCAGCTGGACAAGGAGAATGTTACACCCAAGGTTAGAAGAAAGAGGGCTTTGATTTAAAGCCTCAGTATGAGAGAGAACATGCGCTGAAGAGTCCGCAATTGCTCCCCGTACTGTCCCTTAAGGAGGGAGAAGGTGTATGTGTGCGTCTCTCACGCAGAGACATGTGATAGTTACCGGAGGTCCTGAGAAAATCAGAACTCATTATTCACAGTGATTTATCCTGTTAAAACAGTAAAGATCACGGGGCTTTTTTGTGGCAGTAGCCTGCCTGTTCCAATGATCTGAAATCAGCTGCCAAGCCAGAGCTGTTGCTGAATGGGGCGTCACTGCGGGCTTCCTCATCAGGCAAAGCAACTGGCAATCCTGCACCGGGATATGAACATATTTAACCCCAGTTTAAGCAGTAGGGAGCTTGGCACAGACTAAATTCACCTCGCTGCTTTAGCAGGCTTTGTAGCGCTATGGTGCCACAGCACAGCAGAACCTGCCTAATGCTTCCCAGCTGGATCCAAACCATTTACTGCAAACATATTCCAACATATCTGACAAAACACCTCTCCTGCTGCGGCTGCTGCCATCAGGTACTGCCTTTACTGTCTTGGTTTCTCACCACCTTTCTGATGCACAGGATCCTCCAGTGCCCAACCGAGAGCCCCTTTCTGATAGAAGAGACCAACTTGGAAGGGCTGAAGATGGATACTTGTTCACTGTTGTAGCAAAAGGCATTTCCTATGAACCTGAGGCTGAAAAGGATTAGCGACCAAATTTAACAGACATATGAAACAGCATTAACTTCTGAATGCTCCACTATCTACAGATGTTTGGGGCACAAGATATAGAACACATACCTACAGACGTGTAACACATCAGACCCACTCATGCAGTGACTTTCGGGCCCCGAGCGGGCACATTATGGTTCACATTTGAGGAAAATAAACAAACACCCCAGCACATTATGAGCTGTATGGACAGGTTACTTGAAGCGGTGTCAGTGCCACACGGACAAGAGCCTGCAGCATTCCCAAGCCTCGCAGCCAGCATGCTTCAGTTCTAGAAGTAATGTTTTATGAAAGATAAATCCAATTTCTGCTTTTACGCTGGCTCCTGTTTAAGGCAAGGGCATCAGCACATACCTTGACAGGACTATGCGTACCTGAGACAGGCACTTCTCAATCAGATCCTACACTTCTTGGCCTCTCAATTGAGACTACCTGATAAGAGATGTGACTTTGTAAAGTGACTGTCCTGCACTCTAAGGACAAATTGCCTCTTAACTGATTTTCGGCTCGGTGGTGGCCAGCCTAAATGATGCCTGCCACACTCTCACCTGTAGCCCTGCACGTGTAGCCTTGCACGAGCTCCAGCGCTCACTGGACTGTTCTACATGCCGTTTCAGAACACTAACCTGGCAGAAAACATTGCACAGTTTTGTGCTGTGTAAGCGCACTGCCTCACGACTTAGTCTGAAGCAAGCGAGGGGAAGGCTCCTGGGGCCAGGACCATGCAGGGCTGCAGCAAGCAGCGATGCAGGCATTTGGCTTTGGTCACTGCAGCACTGTAGCCTGAGCAAGCGCGCTAGGGAGAACACATCATACAGCTGCTCAGCGTCCAGACCCATCCTACTGTCAGGAAGCACCAAAAAAAAAAAAAACCCACAAAAAACCCAGAAGGAAACAATGAAAAAAAACCCCACAAACAACCAGTGAGCTCTCCTCAAAAGATGATGAGATCCACTCCAGAGATGGATTCTGTTCTCCTGCCCCTGCCAATTTTGTTCATTTTCCTCTTCAGCGGTCTGTCAGAGTTTTTTTACTCTGCCTAATGGCAAAGACATTCCCACCCCATTACAAGAGAGGGGAAGCAGGCATTTGCTGCTTGCTACCTGTGCCCACAAACAAGTTTGACACCACCTTCCAAGCAGCTCCCACCTATCATCCGAAGGTCAGCAGGCCTTCTGCCCAGATCCAGAGGCCACAGTGCTAAGGCAGAGGCTTTACCAGATGAAGCAAAAGTCAAAACGAGGGGCTTCCTTGCCCTAGAACAGCAATTCTTGTCTGCCTTTAGCACACTTGGCCACAGCTTTAAGACAGAACATTTACTTCATGCTTGGTGTACTACTGTACGCTCTCCAGCTTTTTTCTTGCTTCTTGCTGCCAGAAGATACAGAATCACAGAATCATTTGGGTTGGAAAAGCCCTTTAAGCTCACCAAGCCCAACTGTTCCCCTACCCCTGCCAGCCCACCACTAAACCCTGGCCCTAAGCACCTCCTCTGCCCGACTGTTAAATACCCCCAGGGATGGGGACTCGACCCCTGCCCTGGGAAGCCCCTTCCAGTCCTTGACAGCCCTTGCGGGGAAGGAATTTTTCCCAATGTCCAACCTAACCCTGCCCTGGCACAACTTGAGGCTGTTTCCCCTCGTCCCATCGCCTGTTCCCTGGGAGCAGAGACTGACCCCCCCTGCTTCCCCCTCCTCTCAGGCAGTTGTAGGGAGCGATAAGGGCACTCCTCAGCCTCCTCTTCTCCAGGATGAACACCCCAACCTCCCCCAGCTGCTCCCCAGCAGCGTTGGCCTCCAGAACCCTCCCAAGCTTCCTTGCTCTTCTCTGGACATGCTCCAGCCCCTCTATGTCCTTCTGGGAGTGAGGGGCCCAACCCTGAACCCAGCATTCCAGGGGCGGCCTCACCAGTGCCCAGGACAGGGCACGGTCCCTGCCCTGCTCCTGCTGGCCACGCCAGTCCTGATACAAGCCAGGATGCCGTTGGACCTCTTGGCCACCTGGGCACACTGCTGGCTCATATTCAGCCGCCTGTCAAGCAACACCCCCAGTTATATTCTACCTCCATGTGATACTTACGGATCTCTTCCATCACTACTGTGTTGTCCATGGCTATATGGACTGCCAGCGAACTCCATGTATCAAAAGTTGCAAGTTTTCTATAGGAAAGAAAATAAAAATAAAGTAAGCAAGGATTCTTTACAACTACAAAATAAAGACAATGTTGTATCAAAGCTGAGAAACTGTATTAGGAGAGATTGGCTTTCATTAATTATGCTGTAAAGTTGCTTTTATACATGTATCAGAGTTGTAGACTTCATTGCCCCTAGTTATTATGGCCAGAATAATAAACAAGATTGCAAATGGGACCACACCTGGGAATTTATCCCTCAGCAGCTACTAAGTACAAGAGCCCTGATACCATCTCCAACTCAAATCCTGTAACTGCTGGTTGCCAGAAAGTGAGTCAGCATAAAAAGCAGACAATAATAAATTTTTCAAAAATCATTTATCCTGGGCTAATTCGGCCTATGGTCTGACCTGGGAAAGCTGCTTTTAGGCGATCCTAGCCTATTCCAGGGAGCCACCTGCTCATCTGAGCAAAGTGAGGGAAGAATGGTGACGGGAGGGAGAATATTACTCAAAATACATCATGTCCCAGTTATTAAAGGCAGTCCATGCTCCAGCACCGGTCTGATCCTCTGCCCATCACCATGGAACCCAGGCAGCAAATATTAATGCTTTCCTCTGCTAATGCATTAGTGACTTGATGGCTCGCTGGCAGCTTTTTGATAACAGTGATGCTGTTGTCAGGTCGGCAGAGGCGACTCGGAGGCTAGCAGAGATCCCAACGATGGCAACGATCATCGGCTCTTGGTGCTGCTGGTCTGCGCTGCACTCAGGTCTAGTGGCAAGCACATTACTTGTGGGATGTGGAGTGAGAATTTTGGGGGGTTGTCCTCAACTTGAAATCTGTTTTCTCTCGCATCCTGCCAGCATCTGAATGACAGAAGGGCTCCTTTCAAGTTCCTGCCCAAGCGGGTTGGTAAGGTCAAGCAGATTGCCTGCCAACAGTGTTAAAACATACAGTTGCACTTCAGTCAATGGGCAGAAACCTGTAAGCCAGGAGGTACTGCAAACCAAATGACCCCAACGCATCATTCAAAAGATGTAAAGGAAAAATGCAGCACTTACTTGAGCACTTGTGCGACTGTGTTTGGTCCGTACCACTGACCTATGGATTTTCCCTCTCCAACTCCCATCTGAGCTGCATCACAAGAAAAAAACCCAAAATAATTTAGCAAATCGTTTCCCCTACACTGCATGCCTTGATAGTCAGAGTTTGTATTTAATAGGGAAGAAATCTCATTTGGAAACATTTTTTAGTCAGTGGAATCTACCTTTTCATGGGGTATCTTAGTGTAGATGGGAGAGAGCAGATCCTGAAGGACTGTAAAGCAAAGCCTTTCCCCAAAATGCAGTAACACAGACGTTCAAGAGGCAATGTTACCTCCAGAGAAGTTTTACTTAGAGTGTTTATCTACCAGACCACCCCTGTAATCTGAAGTTCTGTTTGCTGAAGTTGTAGGTGCCTTAACACCCTACAGAATAAAATTGGAACAGGCTCTTATTTGCCAGAGAAGTTTATAGCAAAGTGAGATTCTCCCTTAGCCCATTTTCTGCTTTGGAGAGTTTCTTCTTTGCTCGGCAATGCTCTCATATGACAAAGTCCCAGTGAGAACAGCAACCACACGTGTTCCTCTCACCCTAGCGAGCTAGGGTACAGAAAGTGATGCTGAATACAAGCTAAAGCATTAGGCAAACCTGACAGCCTTCACAGAGTCAAGAAGAAAAATCCATCAGAATCCATAATAAAGAGTGGTTTCATGACAGCAAACAAGCAGCACAGTATCGTGTACTACCTGACCAGCTCATTGGGGTTGTTTTTTTTTTGTTAAGCTAGTAAAACAAACACAAAGTGACCTCCTACATGCATGGGAAACCCAGACTGAGTATCTCCATGCTTTTCAGCACCCAGACTCTTACCTATCTGGTGAATGGAGTAGTAGCTGTCTTTTTTGTCAATGAAGGCATTAAGAACATTGAAGTAATTATCCGTCTGCCTCTTCCCTTTTATCCACCTCCAGTCTAAGACAGACAGGGGATACATGAAACAAAACATGATATTTATTAGCAATGAGAGGCTGAAAGCTACAATCTGCTTCCCTCTGCATCAATCAACTGACCCGATTTTCATGTCACTATCTTGTAACTGGGCATCTGAGGCACTCCCAACACTAAAGCATGAATTTTAAAAAGAAAAGTAAGCATTCTCACAGCTGGGATAAATGAGTATCAGCCACAAAAAAGCAAATAAACAAGCAAAAATCAGAAAACACAAATTGTACCTCTGTCCCACAGATGGGAAATAGGATTACAATTTCGCATTGACTGGTGTGAGCTACATGTTCTGGGAGAACACAGGTGACCTCACTACAAAAATCATCCCCCACAAATTCAAAGGCCATCAACAACTGTCAAAAATCCACTCTGGTGTAGCTGCTTACAGACCAAGCATGGGTCAAGCACAAGAACAGAAGTATTCAGGGAGAGGAGACTAAGCTCAGTGAGCGAGGGCTTTGTGACAAAACTTAACTATAAACAAGAATCAATCTATGAAGTTGTTTTAAACTTCAGCTGTCTAAAAAACCCTTCACACGCTTGGCTTCAGTGGATTTCACGAGTATGTTACAGGGCTCTGCCTTGTTTCAAGGCTTGGACAACTACATCTATCTACATAGAGTTGCAGACAGCAGGGAAAAACGTGCTGGAGGGTTTCCAGTAGACTGTTTTCTCAACAGCCCTGAAGTTGAGAAGACTGAAGAACAAGTTAGAGAGCCCTCAACAATTCCAAGCAGTGCCTTTGTTAATCTGCCATCCTTACAAGTACCGCACTTGTGGGAGCACATGGCCCTGGAAGTCAGTATGGGCTGTGCACTGGCTTACCTCTTCCCAAATGCCTGCAGACCAAGGCCTGAGCAAAGATCATCTGGCCACACCGCAACATACAGCCCCAGCCAGTATCAGAGGTGGGACCGGTTCCTCCTGTAAACGAGGACAGAAAATAAATATGTAATGAGCAGTAAAACAGTGCCAAGAGGAAGAGGAAATGAAAGCACTGTAAGTCCGCACAGGTAGCAGGTTCACCCAAGAAATCAGGCAGGGAATAAGGACTACCTTAGCTCACACACCCAGGGCTGAGAAGCAAAAACGTAGTTATCAGCAAGTACCTTAATGGCATCCCTTAAAAACAAACAAACCAACCCCTCTCACACTAACTGAAAGGGAAAAAAAACCTTCAAAGGGAAATCCAAACAACTCGACTAGAAAGAGAGACAAATTTCTCAGGGGCACAACAGCCCTCAAGCCCAGCTGCAGACTCCCAGCCCAATTCAGAGACACATTTCTACACAGAGGTGACTTCTTGTAACCCTCATCTTGAGAGAGCAACTCATCATGCAAAACCAATCAGTCCCAAGGAATTCCCACACCATGAGCAGCTATGACTGGATGAGATTCCAAAGTGAACACCAGAGTTAGGGGAAGAAAAAAAAAATTCCCACCAGCCAAAAAAACCCACCCCAGCAATGAAAAAAAACCCCACCCTACAGAATACTGGGGAATAAACTGGATATTAGGTCACGCTGGGAAGTCTGAGAGAAAGGCCTCAAGGCTGGAAGCGTTTCCCTGACAGAACTTCAAAAGGAAACTACTGCTGCTCCTCCACTGAAGCTCTGGCTGTTATTACAAGCTTCACAGATGTAAAGTTTAGTGTGACCACAGCAAGTGAGCTGTCTTACAAGCATGCGGTCAGCTGCACCTCAGCTGGCAGAGGCAGTTTCTTTGTAATGCTACTTTCTTCTTTCTTTTTCTGCTTTTTTTTTTTTTTAGTTTCTTTTCACAAAAAGCACAGCGAGAAAAATCACCCAAGAGAACTATTTAATCAACATCTGGATGGTCAGCAGTCGTCTTCTATAATTTTGCCAGCAATTTATAACATCTACAACATTCCAAATTGATAATGCTTTACAAGATTAACATAAGACATTCCCCTTACCCTCTGAAGGGCTTACAACATTTAAGTGGGCAAGCACAGAGAGAAGTGGCCAACAATGCAAGGGATGATTGGGAGAAGAAAGGCTGAAAAAGGAAAAGGTTTACTGCATGAGGTGCAAACTGTGCCTACACTGTAAATGGGAAATGACTCAGAAAATGGGATTTCTTTAATAACTTGCACAGAAACCCCAATCATGTTTGTGAGCCGTAGTTAAACATGCACTAACCCTTCAAACATGTGTTTAACTACGGCTCACAAACGTAAATTTAAAGGGATTAAACGGCATCAAAGATGTCTCATACCTTGTGAGGCAAAGGGTTTCCCAGCACGGAAAGAACAGAACAAGCCAGAAGGATCACCTACCAAAAAGTCTCTCTTCCAAACCATTTTCCCCATCAACTGCTGGGGATGATGCTGACAGTGGGGACACGGGCGGGCTTGGAATCCCATTTACCTGCTCTCAGATCTCTTCTGATACTCCTTCCACCCAGTACACAAAATCACACCACAGCAGAGACCATGCAGAATATCTTAAGTAGCCAAGATGTCCTCCTTTGAGCTCACTGGGGAACGGTTCCCCATATTACTACAGCTCCCACGTGGGACAGCCACTTCAGGCATTTAACCCACCCTCCCCAACCAAACAAAAGCCCCCGCATAATCCAGAACAGATGCACAAAGGCAGAAATTTCTGTATCATATCTCTAGCTTTCACATCTTCAATCCACTTCAAGCCCAAGGCCATCATTAAATAATATTTCATGTTAGATTTATGTAGGGCTTAACAAACATAAAATACAAAAATCTTCCCATGTTGCTCAAAGGAAGGATATTTCTAGGTAGGCTTCCCAAACTCATTCTTGTGTCCTTTCTAAAATCACTGTTATCCCTCATACCCAATGGGATAAAGAATTCTCATTATCAGGTAAACAAAAAGTCTATCCTATCAATGAAATGAAGTACCTGTCAGTATATGTATATAATCGTAAGTGAATGTTATGCTTGGGGGAACTATTTTATTAGGTAGAGATAACCAGATTGTCATCATTTCCATCACTTAGACTCATCCACAGTACGTACCGATAGCAGGGAAGTTCTTTCTGTAGGTGAACCAAAGCCGAGAGGTCACATCCAATAGGATCTCTTCTTTCTCTGAAAATGTTTCAGCATTGACAGGCACACATGTGAGGGTAGCACCAAACACAGCTAAACCCATCTCTCACCCACCTTCCCTAATGACAACAGCATTCTGCTCCTCATGCAGCCTGTGTGCCCAGGGAGGCAAAACCTGGCTGAGGAACAAAACAGTGCTGTTGTGCAGAAGAAACTTTCTTTTTGCCCCAGAATGGGTGCAAGCAACCCAAAAACACCACAGCCACAGGCAAATTATGAAGCAGTAAACCATTTTATAGAATCATAGAATGGTTTAGGTTGGAAAAGCCCTTTAAGATCACCAAGCCCAACTGTTCCCCTAACCCTGCCAGCCCACCACTAAACCCTGGCCCTAAGCACCTCCTCTGCACGGCTTTTAAATACCCCCAGGGATGGGGACTTGACCCCTGCCCTGGGAAGCCCCTTCCAGAGCTTGACAGCCCTTTCAGGGAAGGAATTTTTCCCAATGTCCAGCCTCAACCTGCCCTGGCACAACTTGAGGCTGTTTCCCCTCGTTCCATCACCTGTTCCCTGGGAGCAGAGCCCAACCCCCCCGGCTCCCCCCTCCTCTCAGGCAGTTGTAGGGAGCGATAAGGGCACTCCTCAGCCTCCTCTTCTCCAGGATGAACACCCTCAGCTCCCCCAGATGATCCCCAGCAGCCCTGGGCTCCAGACCCCTCCACAGCTTCCTTGCCCTTCTCTGGACACGCTCCAGCCCCTCCATGTCCTGCTGGGAGTGAGGGGCCTAACCCTGAACCCCACAGTAGAGGGGCGACCTCACCAGCGCCCAGGACTGGGGCACGGTTACTGCCCTGCTCCTGCTGGCCACGCCAGTCCTGATACAAGCCAGGATGCCGTTGGACCTCTTGGCCACCTGGGCACACTGCTGGCTCATATCCAGCTGCCTGTCGACCAACACCCCCAGGTCCTTTTCTGCTGGGCAGCTTTCCAGCCACTCTTCCCCACGCCTGTAGCGTTTTGTGGGGTTGTTGTGACTGAGAGACGGGTTCATTTCCCCCTTGCCTCAACCATCCTGGCCTCACAACACAAGTCCCAATAACTACTAAATTGTAGCTTTTGGCACAAAAATATCCCAGAGTCTGCAGAGATGTCCAGAGAGAAGTCCAGCACTTACAGTCTGCATGCTCTGCCAGGAAATGGATGCACTCTGCAGTGTGCTTATAAGGTTTGCAGTCACCTTGCTGCTCAGAAAGCAAAGTGTAACACTAACAAAGTCCTCTGGAGCATTAGAGCATGTTGCACCGTGCATGCAAAATACCTGTAAAAACACTGTATTTCCGGCCAAGGATCCAAACTGGCTCTTTGGTCTCAGGAAAGTCTTCATATTCAAACCTGAGGGTGTCATAGGTAAGAGTAGCTGGAAAGAGAAAGAAGAAATTACAAACCATTCAGAGCTTTTCCTTGTGTTTTAAAAGAAGCATACAAAACTACAGAATCAGAGCTGCTATGGACCAGCAGCTTACACACCCAGAGCACCTGGCACTAGCTGGCAAGAAACAGCACGGCTCGCCCCACAACCACCACCCCTGGAAGGCACAGAGAGCTGACGCAGCCGTAGCTCACTCCTGGCTGCTCCACAAGCAGAAAAGTAGAGGGATTTCCAGGTTAGGTCAGCTCCAGGTGCAGAAAATGGCCAAGAAAACATCTAGGACTTCATCCGACAGCTGAGCTCTGCTTCCCAGAACAGGCACCATCATGCGCGCCAGAACAGTCATCAGCAACAATGTCAAGGTCCTCTTCTCAAGTGAGCAAAGTGATTAAAATCCTTCTTCCAGAGGATATTTTTGGTGGTGGAACACAAATAGCACAGAACGCATTACGGTGGGAACTAAGCCTTGTGGCAAACCTCTGTCCCTCCTCAAGAGGCGATGAATCCATCAGAAGTCATCACTTGTGCTGAAAACAGCCTGCAGCTCAAGGAGCAGCACCGTCTTTACCGATGCCAAGATCCGAGGAACACAGAGCGGTGCAGAGATGTACTCATTCATGGGCAACAGGCACACCTTACGCCTCTTTTACTGGCTCCCTTCATGGCATGGCATCCATCGGTGCCTAGATAGCCACCTGCTCTTACGCCAACTGCTGTGGAACAACTCAGCAGCACAGGCTGCCCTCACGTCAGGGCAGCTTAAGCTTTTGTGCAAAAGGCACAGGCAATGTGGAGGGTGAAAAAACCAAACAAAAAAAGGAGAGCTGGATGAACTGTGCTCCAGGTCAGTATTTAGAAATAAGGCACTTTAAAGTGGCCTGGGAACCCTGGAAATGAAGCATCTAATTTTGTAGGTGTCAATTCTTTAACAAACCGCCTATAAAATTTAAAGTAGAACCATGCAACTGTTAAAGTAGCTATGGAAAAATCTCTCACAGCAAACGCAATAAAATTTGCGTAACATGACATGAGTTTAAAACAGGGCAATGGGCTAAAAAACCACAAGCTCTTCTCAGCACTGTTTTCTAAGAATGCCACTGCCCTCCATGGTGCTCACCTCACTTTTTCCTTCCCAGGATAGTCACCTGCGGCTTTTCTCCAGTGCTGCCGATGTAGCAGACCTCACCTTTCTTACAAGTAGAAGACGTTTGTAGAAGAGGAGCTTTCCTCCCGATCATTCCCTGCTTAGTTTTCCAAAGCATCACCTGGAATACCGGTAAATGACAACGTGGCTGATCTGCATCAAGTCAAATGATAGCTCCAGAAAGTCACCACTAGGTTCTGCTCCCCCTCCTCCCAGACACCTCGGATATTGCGTGGTGTGCTCAGACAAACAAGCTACCTGAGACATTTCTGGCCTTCTGTAGGTACCTCGACAGCCTTCTGGCCCCAGGCTCTCTGACCTGAACTTCCAATTCCGAATGTCCAAGAAAATACATACATAGCAACAGCAAGACACCATCACCAAGACCAACTACTGCTTAAGCAGGAACCCTGGCAACAGAGATGAAAATTGGCTCCTAAACCAAATTTTGAATGAAGACTCTGGATCTAACCCTAGCCCAAAAGATTTGAAGCCTGTTCCTTGCATGAACCAGTCAACAGGCTGTTTGGGGCACATTTAGGATACATGGGCCACACAGTCCCATTCCCACCCAGTGATGCGATGTCTCAACAGCAAGCTAAGCAAAGCAATCCTGCCGGCACAAAAGTGCCAGCAAACTAACGCAGTCTTATCCCCTAACAAAACTAATGCAGTGAAATGAAGAATTTCTTTGCCATATACTAGCCAAACTTTATGAAACCCCAGCAGCCCGTGCTTCCTGTGTCGATCTTTACTTAACAGCTTGGCTTGCTTTCACCCCTTTCTTGATCAGCATTGAAGATTTCTTTCCAGGGAAGAACACAGCGTGACTTCTGCGGATGTTTTCAAGTGTGCATCACTTTCTCCCTTAATTTTCAGAAGTTTTCCTTCTGGATGAGACAATACAAGTTTATTCTGACAGCTCAAAGGGAGGCTAAGCATTAGGATTTTTTTTAAAATTCAGTGCATTACCAGCTACGATTTTAACATAAAACCTGAAGTTCTCAGATAGGTTTTAAAGCTCCAAGGAATATTTTGTGGTTTATTTTGTCAGTTCCTGAGCTCGGCAGGAGTCCAGCTCTCAGCCAAAAGTCTCAAACAGCTCAGATAAAATGACCGAAACAAGGATGCTACACAGAAACTACCAAGCTCCCCGCTTTCCCCTTCCTAGCAACACCTCCTTGCTTTCTCAGACGTCGCACCCTCTGTGGCTCCACATTTCACAGGGCACCAGGTCCTTTGCAAGCACAGGATTTGCAATCAGCAGCTTCATGGCAATGATCTGCTGGAAAGCGGCTGCTGGAGCCTCCCTTCTTCAGTCAAAGCTAGGAGAGGAAGGGGTCAGAGGTGGGAGGGATTCTCAGGCTGCCCACTGGACCAGCTGAGTATTCAGCACAGGGAAACTGCAAGTGCCATGACACTGCACATTCGGGAAGAGAGTCCCAGATTTGCAGTCGTTCAGCTTTGAATGCCTGACATCTGGGCTCTGGGCAAAGGTCCGGTAGGTCCAGCCGCGCATCCGAAAGACGCAAGCAGACGCTAGCACGTGTGTTGGTTTTCTGGAAGAAAATACTTGCCACTGTCTGAAAAGGCACAACCACTAAACGCAGGAGTTAATGTTTCACCTCCACCAGGAGGAAAAGTCAAGTGATTGCTGCGAGTTAGTGTCAACAATTTCATAACGGGAGCAATAAACTCCCCACGAGGCTTGAAGGTACCAAGTGTTTCCTTTACAAACATCTACCTTTGTACGCTCTGGCACTTTTTCAAAACTACATCCATCGTGCGGTCGCCCAGATGAGCTAAGTATGAGCATGTGGGACCCAAACAATTCATGCAGGGGTACAAAGAGCAGCACAGCTAGCACAGGAGCTTTTCTCTTCCCCCTTAGAGGCAAAGGGTCTGAAAATGAATAAAACTGGAAACTCACCAACCAAGCAGAAATCCTATTTGAAGATGCTCCTCTCAGAGCTGCAAAAGTCCAGCAAGATCAGCAAATTTCCCAGTCAGCACTCCAAAACTTCACCTTCAAAAAGCCCTCGATCTATTTTAAATACCGAACTCTGAGCATCCAGGACAGCAGAGCAGCAACCTCTGCAGAAAATCCAAGCGCACATCAAGCATGATAGTTCAGCTTCTTTCCGTGCAGAGTGGTTTTATAGTTCAAGAGCCAAGAGTTCCAGCCCTGCAAAGCAGGAAGGCGGCCTCGGAACACCTTCTCACCCCACGCCCTCCCCAGAAAGCCCCGACAGAAAAGGCAAAGCTTTGTACGTGCCACTACAGAAAAGAACTGGATTAAACAACCGAGGTAAAGGCATTCAAACTCAAACTGCGTTAAATACCAGCGCTAAGCCTGAATGTTTGAGTTCTCTTCCACTTTGGCGCATGCGGTTAGATCTACGCCATTGTAACAGGCCACATCACAACAGCCAGCCTTGTACCAAGTGCAAGGAACCAAACCTCAACACCCTCAGCACGTCCCTGCACCACCAGCGATTTTCAGTATCAATTTACTAAACATGAGTACATGCAGGGTTACTGAAAATTCAGCTACATCATCTTGACGTAGACTGAGAAAAACTGTCTCAATACACAGATCAGGGTAGAGGGTGAAATCTTGCCTCCCTTCTTATATTCTTAAGCCATACAATGAAAAAGCTGAGATAAAAATGTTGTCCCAACTTGTAATAAGCTCCCACATAAACAAACACAGAAGCGCCGCCAGGCACTGGGGAGCAGACCAGTTTGCAAATGTGCTGAAGGCAAGATACCTGCTTACAGCAAGTACCCAGCCCTTGACAGCCACTGACTCTACCTGCTTGACCAAAACCAAAGCTATTTGGTTTTCTGTTGACTTTGGGAAACAAATAACAACACGTCAACACTTTGATGACTCAAACAGAAATACGGCAAGCCAAGCCAGGGAAGGGAAAGGAAAGGAAAGGAAGGGAAGCCAAGCCAGGGAAGGGAAAGGAAAGGAAGGGAAGCCTCCCTTCCCAGATTGCTTCTTGGGCTTCCCCCCAGCCTCCAGCAAGGCCTCTCGCTCCTCAGGCAGAGACCTCAGAGACGTTTCCCCTCAGTCCTTCAGCCTCCAATTAACACTGCCACAAAAGAATCAGAAATGGGGCAGGCGATCATCTCCCTCAGCCAATAAAGGTGCATCACCCAAGACAGGGGAGAGGAGGAACGCTACTGGAGGTAGGATGTTTCAAAAGAGAGTCAAGAAGAGAAGGTAAATTTATTGTATTAGTAAAGCTCATTGCTGGAAGGTGCCTAGAAAACAGATAACCAAAGAACAGCCTGAACCCTTATTTCTGACCTTTGCAGAAGAAAGATTAAGTCTTTTCTTTCCCCTAAGCTCTTTCAAACAAGTCAAATCCCGATTACCTAAGCAACAACAAGGAGTTAAGAGACAGCCAGGGAGGAAAGTCAGTCGACTGGAGAGCGGTGCCTTTTTGGAGGCCCAGAACAAAGAGTTCAAAGTCTTCCCGTCGGGTCCCCGATGGCCTCAGAAGTGGGGCTGGACGCAACAGAGCTTGAGCTCTTATTGCTCCGAAGCCCAGAGGCCGACCTCTTCTTTGCACAGAGGAGATCCAGCCCTACTGTCTATCGCAGCAAGGTTTTCCTTCCCTCGATAAGCCTTGTAACGCTTACAGAGAGGGAAACCAAACATCTCTCCTGGCTCGGGTTGCATAATCTCACTTGCTGGAATGTGTTTTGTTCCCAGGCGCGAGAGGCTGGATGCAACGACGCACCAGGCAGCAAGTCGGGACACTATCAACCGTGGCGCCTGCATCAAGGACAAGAAACGAGTCAAGAGAGCAGCCCGGAGGGACGAGAGCTATGCATTGCCTCCACGTACACACGCTCACCGCACACAGAGGAGGCACCCAGACGGTGCAGGAAAACGCTCGTTATCATGGAACAACACTTATCTCTGTGGAGGGCGGACGAACGCCGCTACTACACGAAGGCAAGCAGAAAGCGAGTCCGTACCCAAGCACCAAGACGCTTCCTTTTTTCTCCCCCTGCACGAAAACAAGACCTCTGTCGCAAAGGGCCCTGCCGGCA